GAAATTCGTGCACTCAGGGGGTTCCCTCAGCCCGGCCTGCACCCTCTCACAGTCTGGGACCCCTTGGGGATGTCTGACTGACCGCTTAGACCCAATTTAGCTCCCACAGGGAGTGGGCCTAAGCTGACAGTTGGACATCCTTAGCACTGCCGCAGAGGCAGGAGAAGCTCCCGCCACTGCCACTGCGCTCACCAGCCGTGAGCCTGGCTCAGGGCTTCTGGCTGAGCAGTGCTCCCCCTGTGGGAGCGCACTGACCACCAGGGGGAAGCTCCTGTTTTGTGTGTCTGCCCCCTGGTGGTCAGTGCACGTCATAGTGACCAGCCGTTCCCCTGTTCGGTCAATTTGCATATTAGCCTTTTATTATATAGGATGATAACTGCAGGACTTTGCATGAGACTCTAACATGGACATACTTGTAAACTGTTACAGCTATTATTATTTTAAATATTTTTTTCTGGTCTGTTCTTGCTTCCCCTCTTTCTGGGACTGCAAGTTACTGAGACTGTTTATTTTTTTATACAGTCTTTTTAATTTGTTTTTTCCTAGTTAGATAATTTATATTGATCCATCTTTCTTTAAAGTCACTGTCTCTTCTTTCTTCCAACAGTCAGGGTAATTCTTTATTTCTGATTTTGTAATTTTCAGTTCTGGAATTCCCATTTGATTCATTTTATAGATCCTATTACTAAGCTGAGATTCCCATCTCTTCATTAAGTCCTTGAACATATTCATAATAGTTACTGTAAAACCTTGTCCGATAGTTCATGGTGGGGGTCTGTTTCTGCTGGCTCTTTTCTCTTTTGACTAAGTGGTAACATTTTCCTATTTCTTCACATGTTTAGTAATTTGTGGTTTTAAAGTGGATTTGGGGGACAGAACATTGTAGAGACTCTAAATTCTGTTATCTTCCTCTGAAGAGTGTTGATAGTTTTGGGTGGCCTCACTGTCCAGATTGTTTGCCTCTGATGTAAGTAACAGTTTAAATCTCAGCTGAGTTCTTTCGGACTTCCAAGTGCTGGTTCTCAGTGGTCTCCCACCTTCTCTCCTGCATGTGTAATTTAGGCGTCAACAAGGATTTGGGCAGAGTTCACACATATATTGATGTTTTTCCCCCTGTTGCTCCTTCCTTACAGGATTTTCCTGTTCTTTTTCCAGCCCCCTTCCAATTCCCTTGTCTGATTCTGCTGATCAGTAAAACGCAGTTTTCTGCTTAAGGTCTAATTACCCTGCCTAGCTTAGACCGTGGGTGCCACTGGTTGTACAAAGCCACAAACGCAGTTCTCATCCAATACGTTTTCTCTCTTACAAAGGTTGATTTCCATTTTTATTTGTTTTTGGTATCAACTATTTTCAGGTAGTTGATTTTATTATATTTTCAAATAGTTGATTTTATTACGTTCAGAGGCTGTCTTTTTTATCCAAAGGAAGTTTTTTGCCTAATAAAGGCTATACTCAAAGGCAGAACTTCTTTTCTGTTTTACTTGTGTATTCTTTTGCTAATTGCATAATGCTTTCATTATTGGGGATTTAATGCGTTTCAGAATTTGGTAGGGCCAGCCTCTACTCTTCTTTGTCAGAGTTTTCCTGATCATTCTTGTTTATTTTGGTATGTTATTTTTGGAATAATTTTGTCTGGGTTAAAAACTTATTAACATTTAATTTAGATTGCATTGAATATATAAATTGGGCACAATTGATGTCACTATGGTGTTGTCTTTGTAGGAAGATGTATTTTTCTTTGTTCAGTTTACTTTTGTGTTCTTTGATAATTAAAATGTTACTTTTGTAGTTTTGACACATTTATAGTTACATTATTCCTAGGTGCTTTGTATATTTTATTATAAATTAATTCATTTAAAAAATATTTTTTCCTATATAACCAAGCAAAAATTTTACTAACTAGAAGTAAATTTATTTTCAAATAAACTTCCCAATTTTGTGAGAGAGATATAAAAGTGGATCGAATTGAGGCTTAATACCCTATGATGGCAATTGGAAAGTATCAAGTTAAAGTTGGGATTTAGGTCTGTTTGCCTCTAAACTGATTGCATGTTTTTAACAAAACTTGAATAAAGCACAACTTTAGTTCTTCATGCCCTTTTAGATTCTGGTTCTTGTGTCAGTGCCAGAGTTATTGGAGTGAAATGTTCAGCCTGGTCTTCATAAGAGCAGAATAGCCCCTTGGTCTGATCTTTTGTTAATTACCTTTCTTGAATTATTGTCCAAGAAAGAAGAGTAAGTTGTATCCTGTTCCTTCTGAGGTTTAAATTTAGATTCATAAGACTCTAGACCAGGGGTGGGCAAACTTTTTGACTCGAGGGCCACAATGGGTTCTTAAACTGGACCGGAGGGCCGGAACAAAAGCATGGATGGAGTGTTTGTGTGAACTAATATAAATTCAAAGTAAACATCATTAAATAAAAGGGTAAAAAAAATTTTTTTTTTTTTGTTTTATTCATTTCAAATCCGGCCCGCTGGCTGTAGTTTGCCCACGGCTGCTCTAGACTTTAGTTGCTTTTATTGTAATTTAAACTACATGGTGCTATATTGTTCCAATAGCTATTTGACAACTATCTTAAATAAAAGAACCATTTATTTTATGGTTTTTTAGTCAGTATACATTTAGGGGTCGGGGGAAGAAAAGTTCTAAATTATCTTCCAGGTTTTGGGCTTTTTCTGACTTGCAGCTTGGGAAATGAAAGATAGATGTCTGCAGCCTAAGAACCCAGAGAATCTTTTAAATATCTCAAGGTGCTGGAGAGTGTCCAAAAATACATTTTCTTAAACTGTCTAGAATTACAGTTACTGTAGCCCCAAAGCATGGCATGAGATGTTTCTGCATCTCAGTGGTTATGCAAGAGGCCCAGCACCCACGTGATGGATGTGTGCTGCCCAGCCACAGGAAGACAGCACTTTTCACTATTGCCTTTGAAGTGTTCATTAGTAGTGTGTCCATCTGGAATTTAATTACCTTTTTTGACTCTAATTTTTTAAAGTAAAACTTAGGACCTGAGACACTTTGGTGGTCAAGAGTTCATTCTAGACAGCTTTTAAGCTCCTCTTCTTCCCTTCTCCCCGGATGAGAAGTTACTGTGAAATGCAATAGTAACAGGGGAAACAGGGAAAATTATCTCTAGACTGCCCAGGTTCTGAAAAGGAATGTGGGAGAAAAATGTTGAGCTCTTTTTGCTCTGTGGCTTTCGGGTATACTGATTAAAAAACAACAACAAAAAACTAGATACAACAAATTTTTCATATTCATACTATCTTTTAAGAATTTGTTGCTTTCACATATCTTTAGTCCTTATAGAAATTTCTTAAAACTTTTAAGATGGTATGCTACATGAGAATGATTTCAAAATCTACTTCCTTGTCCTTTGTTGTGATAAAAGACCAATAATTTCTGTAAAACTGAATATATAAGTATTTCAAATAACTTGAAAATCTTAACTGTAGATATATGTCTGTTTTAATTGGAATTTTTCCTGTATTTAAAATATGAGTTGACATTTGTGTTTAGATAAGTTTTTTTAAAAACTGGATTATAAAATGAAGCACTGTTAGTAAGGCTAATGACATAGGTATTAGATCTTTTGTTGTGAGTAGAGGAAATTGAAAAGGACATTATAGGTACGATTTCATTAAGCTAGAGAGCATTGGTGTTCACATTTTAAAAACATAATCATAACTTATCTGGAGTCACATGTTCCATTTTATTGGCTTCCTTCATATAGAAAATATAGAAATCAGTACTAAATGCCTGTGAAAACATGAAGCAATGTATATTTTCTCAGTGAAGGAAGTATTCTGTACATTTTTCATGTTTTACATCATGGTATTTTGAATAACCATGCTTCCATGTTCACATCAATTTTTTGTTTTTCAATTTATGCACAGCACTTGCTCTGAAATTTGGGGACTGAGTACACCAAATACGATAGATCAGTGGGATACAACAGGCCTTTACAGCTTCTCTGAACAAACCAGGTGAATATTCTGCCCTCTGTCAAATCCTAGCAATCTTGTGGGCGGGGGGTATTTGGAAGACCTATAGTGGGGTTGCTTAATATAATTTTGCCTAGGATGTTACCTTAATGTAAAATAAGGCATAGCATTTAAAATACCTGCTTGCCGATATTAAAAGTATTATTAAATGTTTCAGCTGAAGTTTTGATCAATGAAATTCTAATTTTGAATCTTTAAATTATTGAATCCCCTAAAGAATAGAAACTCTGATAACTATATTCTCATTTCAGTTTGAGATCTGTTGTTGGCCTAATTTTTAAATAGATACAATACCAGGTTTGCTACATTTCTTGTATACTAATCTCATCTGTATACTAATAAATACATAGTTGATTACTGAACACAACACAAGGCTAACTTGTTTTTTTATGTTATCTTTTTTTAATCACCTCATTCTCTTTTTAAACATATTGGTATTTGTCCATTTCATCTCATCATACTCATCACCATCTGCATTTATGTGTGAGCTATAGAAATAATACCTCCCCGTACTCAATACAATCACAATTGGGTAATGAGTTACATTAGTTTGAGTAAGTTTTATATCATTGTTGGTATTTACCATTCTTCACAGTAGTTCCTTTTTTGATAATTCAGTCACCTACAGAATTAATGCCCCTAAAAGAATCCCTAAATAACAGTTTGATTTATTAAAGATAAAAGTTGACTAAGTTTTTCAAGTGTAACTATATAATACACTTAAAAATCTAGTTTTCCCAAATGGTTATCCACTCACTGACACTGAAGTCATTTGTGTAACATGTTTTAAGAAACATCTGCTAGAGTTGCTGCTTTCTTTTATATCAGATCCATAAAATACATTAAATTCAGTATATTATTCAGTACATTTTTCTTCCTTGTATTCACTAAAACTAACTGAATGTCTGTCATTTTTTTCTTTATGCTTTTATTGTACTAATTTAGTCCATTTGACTATTTCTGTTTTTTTAAAGCTCCCACCTTTCTTTTCCCCTTGCTTCCCAATAGGTCTCTTGATGGTCGTCTTCAGGTATCTCATCGGAAAGGACTGCCACACGTTATATATTGCCGATTATGGCGCTGGCCTGATCTTCATAGTCATCATGAACTCAAAGCAATTGAAAACTGCGAATATGCTTTTAATCTTAAAAAGGATGAAGTATGTGTAAACCCTTACCACTACCAGAGAGTTGAAACACCAGGTAGGAAAAGTAGATTTTTAAAAAAAATTAAATGCTTGAACTTAAGTATATTAGGTGTTCATTATCTCTAGTTGACCCAGGAAAATTTTGGTGTAAGATTCTAATAAATTACCTTAAATTCAGTATATTATTTGGTGGTCATTAAAAATACTTTACAGTTAAAAAAAATATTTTATCGAAAATATAACTTAGTGGAAAAGATGGTTTCTTGGAATAGCATATTAGTTCACATTGAAGTATAGGAAATTCCAGTCTGCTTAGAAATAAGCTGATGAATCTGTTTACCTGTCTGCTGCATTAACTGTTTTCATTTTGCTCTCTGGGGTTTTTTTGTGGTTTTTTTTTTTAAGGAATTTCAATGACGTTATTCCTATCTAAGCAATTTAGTAAAACTCATAGAAAGACTTACCTTTACTTAGCTGTGAACTTGAAACGTTTTAAGACTATAGCTGTATTTTTAGAAAATTTGATTTTATAAATCTTTTTGCAACCTTTCTAATGGGGATTTTTGAACTTTTCATGGTAATATAATATTACCAGGATCACCTAGTACCGAAAAGTACAAGATAAATTGGGTCTTGGAAATTATTGTGAACTATATGGTAAGTTAAAATCATAATCAGATTTGTCAATTTAATAACTTGTATAATACCAAATAGGTGGACCCTAAATTTTAAAAATTAAGCAGGCTGCTTTCTTTTTTTGTGTGTGAAAACTTTTAATAAAGGTCCTGTTCCCTACCCCTTGCTCCTTGCCATTAACTTGGATTGTTTTTACTTTTTAGTTTTGCCTCCTGTGTTAGTACCACGGCACACTGAGATCCTAACAGAACTACCGCCTCTGGATGATTATACCCACTCCATTCCAGAAAACACTAATTTCCCAGCGGGAATTGAGCCACAGAGTAATTACATTCCAGGTATTTTGCTTTCTGAATCTCCTAAAATTGGGATAGATACAAATTTTATTCATAAACTTTCAAGTATTAGTAAGCTGTGGTTTGACTTTTTAAAAAATTCTTTTGGATTTTAAATAGAAAAATATGATCTATTGGGTGATTATTTTTTGTGAAATGTATAAACCTAGTACATTAAACATTTTTGTCTGGAGAAAAGTTTTACTTTATATTTCATTTTCTTTTGCAGTGGCTTTAATCAAAGTACTCTGAGAAGCAGAAAAGAAAAGATCTTAGTAAGTTTATCTTAGTTGTTGAAGCTAAGAGAGATACAGAATGTAAGCAAAATAAATGATACAGGAAAAAACTATTCCTGAAACAAATGTAATTAAAAATTGACCAAATAATTACTTTCATAGATAATGTTTAAGAGAGATGTAACATTTCTGTGGGAGATGAAGTATTTTAGTTCTTTTTAATCTGGGCCTCAGTAACTTCTGCCTTAATTATTGTATTATGGGATCTAACAACATATTCCATGATACGGTAGCTGCCTACCCTTAAATTTTCACAATTTTTTAGGAGAACTACTAATGTTTTCTTACTTTTCTGCCCCTCCCCTTTTTAGCAGAAACTAAAGGTATACTAGGATGAAGATTAAGCTATACATTGGATTTTTTGGTGTTAATTTTTTTCTTTTTGCAATATTCCTCTATCCCACTCTTATTTTTTTATACAACTGAAAATATGTAAGGAACTTAGATTTTCAAGCACATAAAACATTTCTTTAATGTGTTTCATCATGAAGATAATGCCTGTTCATTGAAGACAATTTTTAAAACATAAGGATTTTTCCAAATAGTTAATTTTAAAGTTAGAAAGTATCTTCTGATTGTTTAAATGTGCATTTCTTTAATTACTATTTTATTACAAAATAGGAATTTAAGACTGCTCTTTGGGTTACTAGGAAATAAACTTTTTAAGTTAGGAAGTAGTGATGAGTGGAATGCAGTATGAGGGCTAGGATGATGGGGAAAATAGGACTAAAACAGGACATTTCCTAGAGAGAATTTGCTGAAACTAGAGTTGTGTGTGTGGCATGAGGAGAGGGAGAGCCATTTTAAGTCTTTGAAGTGGGACTTAGCAATATTAGGAAACTGAGGTACCAGTAAGCATACACTCTTACAAGACCATGTACCCAATAATTATTTGGAAGGATGTTAATCAAAATGCTTAGTGGCTTTCATTTGTGGAGATGTTTGGACTTGTGTTTTCTTTATTTGTTTAGATTTGGGTATTTTACAAAGAAGGAAATCAAAAATGAAATGTACCTATTTGTGTTTTTTTGGACAGTGGGGTTTACCCAGCTCTAACTGATAGTAAAACCTAAGGTTTCGCTTTTTATTCCATTTCTAAAGAAAATTTAATATTTTCTCCAAAATGCTAATGACTTTATTATTATTTTACAGATAAAAATGGTGAAAAATAAACTAGGATAAAGTATTTAAAAGTATTTCTACTTAAAATTTGAGACATAGGCAATTAGACTAGCAAAGCTTAGCTCTGTTTAATTTTATCACCTTTAACCTTTGAAATAGTGCATAATGGTTATATATTACTCTTTCATATTCTTCGTTGTTTGAACATATGAAGGTATTCTTAGAATTTCAGTATTAAAAATTTTGGGGTATTGACACTTAAGAGTTTGATGTTAAGGAGTTAAAATGTATAGTTAGCTTATTGGAGGGAGATTGAAAAGGTTAATGAAGAGCCCTAGGCAGTTTAGCTTAGTGGATAGAGTGTCGGCCTGTGGACTGAAGGGTTCCAGGTTCGATTCCGGTCAAGGGCACATACCAGGTTGTGAGCTCGATCCCCAGGAGGGGGTGTGCAGGAGGCAGCCAATCAGTGATTCTCTCTCATCATTGATGTTTCTATCTCTCCCTCTCCCTCTCTGAAATCAATACAAATTTTTTTTTAAAAAAAAAAAGATTAATGAAGGAAACCATTAACCCTCTTCTCTCTCCTCCTTATGTAATTACAGAATTCTTTTAAAGTATGTGTCTGCATTATTTGAATTGCTTAAAACTTCCAGCAATGTATATATTAAACTGTTGATAATCATTTAAACTTATTTTTCATTCGAAATTGTAATTGTTAAAATTGTATAAATGTTTTTATTTTATATGAAGCTTATTCAGGTATTCATATGCCTCCTGAATAAACATATTGGAAATGGCACACTGGAATCTTATTTATTTTCAGGGAGTATTTTGCCTTCGTTTTGTGCAGTAATCTGTATTTGAATTTAATTTTCTGCTTTAATATTCAAGAATTACTGCTTAGAAATCTTTGGAAAAATACACTTTTTGGTAGAATTCAAGACCAGTCCTGAAGTATATTACCATATTTTGCCCTATAAAACTTAGTGGAAGATGTAAGCTTGTATTATTCTATAATCTGAAATTGTGTGTGTGTGTGTGTGTGTGTGTGTGTGTGGTGAGGCTGAGGGGCAAGGGGTGGATTCCTTTAGTCATCTAAATACTCATCCATGGTGGCCATTAGTTTTTTAAAAAAAGCAAAACACATTGTAGGTACTAATGTCTTTGAAATATACTGATCCAGAACTGAGGTATCTTTGAAGTTATATTTTTGGCTCTTGCCCCAGAAAATATACATAGGAGAATGAGCCAGATATGTAAATAATAGTTAAGAAAATATGCCCAAAAAGCTCAATTGTATTTCAAGTAGGCTTTAAGGTTTTGCCTACAAGGTTTGGACCAGAGCCTGAATTCTAAGTTCTTAGTATCCAATACTGCTTTTTATAATAATGTTATATAACATTTATGTTTGTTAATCAGAGCATTTCGTTGAGTTATCTTTGGTAGCTGGGAGAAAAGGTGAGATTAAATTGTAACTGTACTTGATTTGTTCTAAATTTCTGTAGAAACACCACCTCCTGGATATATCAGTGAAGATGGAGAAACAAGTGATCAACAGTTGAACCAAAGTATGGATACAGGTAAAAAAAAAAAATCTTTCAAAATACCTTAGCAATTAGATAACCATTTTTGCCTCATTTGAAACTCACATGAGTTATTCATAACTCTTAAATTTAGAGAAGTTGGGACACATCAAAAAAAACTTTTATCTTGAATTAATTATATTTGAGCCATCAAAGGGCCCTGTTGTCCTTGAAAAATTAACATATGCTGCTCAGCAGAATAATTGGTAAAATTTTTTCTTGTTAGAGTAAAAATTTGAGAACACTCAGTTATTTCTCTTTGTAAATATTCTGTGATTCTGTTGAAAGTTTTAGTTATCCTGTGATTAAATATATCTGTGATGAAAGCTCATAATTAGCCCAATAACAGATTTTCAGAGGAAATTGGAAGTAAGGGATGTGACTCATCTTTCAGTGCTCTTTTAACATAAGAGTGAGTTCTGAATTATAGTAGACTGTTTACAAAAGTATCTTGTACCTCACCTAATGAAACTACTTTCTAATTAATTTAGCTATCGATTCCAAACACAATGGAGAATACGTTTTAATATATAATAAATATTATACACCTCAAAGCTTTAAAACAGCTGTTATGTAATAATGTATAATCCACCAGAACTAATAGGTTGCTAGTGAAATAGATGTCATTGTAATTGTCTGTTTTGATCCATTTCAACCTGTCAGTATCTTAAGGATTGGACACCTTAAAATTACAACCTGACAAATTTCTACAGTTTATAGTAAAGCATTCTGCAGTATGATTATCTAAGTTATTCTTAAATGAATTAACATTGGCGGTAGGGGGAAGTTGGGGTGGGCAGGCTTTTACAATAATTCTGTTGTTTAAATCCTTCCATTATTTAGACTTCCAGGTAAGGAAGCTTCTACTCTAATCATACTTACAGGTGTTCAGAGTAGTAGATAACCAAGAAAGATAGATAATCTAATGATTATTGGAAATGCAAATGTCTTTCTGCAAATGATATTTGGCTTTCCAAACGTATCTTTCTAACCCACCTGTATATCGAAGAATTGTATTCCTGAATCAACCATGTACCTGTTTGCCCCATGATGGTCAACTGCTACTCTACATTTAAAAGTGAATGCCATGATAGCTATCAACAAATGAAAGCCAGTGGCATACAACTTCACACCTACTGGAATCTATATCTACACTAATAAAAGAGAAACATGGTAATTGGCGTACGACCGCTACCCTTCCCATTGGCTAATCAGGGAGATATGTAAATTAACTGACAGCCAAGATGGCGGCTGGCAGCCAGGCAGCTTAAAGCGAACATGAGGCTTGCTTCCTTCATTGAAGGAGGAAGCCAACGTTCCCCGCCTGCGCCTGCGCTGCCGGCCTCTGAGCTGGCAGTTTGAAACTTTGTAACACTTTCAGCCGGCCGGGATCTCAGAGCTAAAGTTATACATTGTTTCGATTATAGAACCAGCAGCGGAAGCCTCAGAGCTAGAGCCAGAGCTAAAGCTGGCCCAGAATAAAAAAAAAAGAAAGAAAAGGAGCGGTTGGGAGCTTCAGTCACCCGCAGAGCCTGAAAACAGCCCTCAGCCCCTCACCCAGACTGGCCAGGCACCCCAATGGGGACCCCCACCCTGATCCAGGACACCCTTCAGGGCAAACCAGCCAGCCCCCACCCGTGCACCAGGCCTCTATCCTATATAGTAAAAGGGTAATAGGCCTCCCAGCACCGGGATCAGCGGAGCCGCGAGGCCTCTTGGCACCAGATCAGCGTGACAGGGGGCAGCGCCCAAACCCCCTGATCGCCCTGCGGCTCTGTGTGTGACAGGGTGCGGCGCCCCAACCACCCCCCCCCA